TGTTCTCATTTTTTTTAATAAAATTTGTTTTTTTATCATCATGAATTTCACAGTTTGAATGAATCCTGAAGTTTCAGTGAGTGGCTCTTCCTGCTGCCAGCGCCCCCTGCAGGAGGCTTTCCGCTAACCCTCCCATGTCATCTTGCAGCTCCTCCAGAGTTCGTTCAGTGGCCGCAGTCCGTCTCCCGGCCAGCAGGGGGCAGCGCCGTCTTCAGCTGCACTGCCACCGGTGTCCCCCAGCCGCACCTCATCTGGCTGAAGAACGGCAAGCTACTGGCGCCCAGCGCCAACGTCAAGCTCACCAACGCCAACACGTAAGGCTGCTGGGGCCTGGGACTGGGCCGGAACCGGTTTCTGACCCTCTAGATCCCTCTGACCCGCTCTGCCCCCTGCAGGACGCTGGCCATCACGCGCATCTCCACAGAGGATGAGGCGATCTACCAGTGCATGGCAGAGAGCGGCGCGGCTACCACCCAGGCCAGCGCCCGACTGGCAGTGGCACCGGGGCCGGCGCTGCCCGAGGCACCCTCCGGGCTGCGCGCCACCGCCCTGAGCGCCGCTGGTTTACGGCTCACCTGGGACCGGCCCGACCCGCGGGACGCCTTGCGGGTCATCGGATATGTGCTGCACATCCGGAGACTGGGAGGTAAGAGCTGGGCCGGGTCAGAACCAGGTCGGGTGGTTCTGTCTAGCGGGTTCTGACTCCGCTGCATCCACAGAACCCGACGGTGCCGAGCTGCAGGAGGCCGTGGACCAGAACACCTTCAGCCACGACGTCCAGAACCTGGAGGCCGCCACCAGCTACCACGTCTACCTGAAGGCGTACTCTGCTGAGGGCGGCAGCCCGCCGTCCGCCGCCGTCACCGCCACCACGCTGGGCGGAGGTACGTCACATGGTACACACCTGAGACACGCCCCCTCGTTCTTGTTGCTTAACGCTGCCCTCTGTCTGTTCCACAGTTCCCAGTACTCCCAGTTTCTTCACCAAGGTGCTGAACCAGACAGCCATGCAGGTGTACTGGGAGCTGCCCAGTAAGCCAGGGAAGGTGGAGGGCTTCAGGCTGCAGTACCATGGGGTCTCCAACCCCGACGTCCAGGGGCAGGAAGTCTTCCCAGGACACATCAACACTCACACCATTTCCAACCTGGGTGAGCAGCTAACGCTACTGAGCCAGGTGTAGAAGTGGAGGCCCCGCCCCCTGCTCACCTGGCCAGGGGGCTCAGGGTAACCTGGTGTGTCTGTGTGTGTAGAACCGGCGGCGGTTTATGAGATCCAGCTGGTGGCGTTCAACGGGAACGGAGACAGTCCGTCAGCTCGTCGCCTGGTGTCTCTGGCAGAGGGCGGAGCCTCAGCAGCAGGTAGGCGGAGCCTCCAAGGCTGGAACCAGTTTTCCCAGTTTGGCCAGTTTAGAGGTTAACCTGACAGTTTTGTCGCCCCCAGCTGGTCAGAGCTGTAACTGCGACCACTCCGACCCGTCCATGTCGACGCTGCTGGTCGGCGTTCACAGCGGCCTGGCCTGCGTCCTCTGCTGCCTGCTCTTCATCCTGCTGGCATACAGACGCAGGTACATCATCATCATCATCATCATCATCATCTGTCTGCTTCCTCTCTGTCACCATGACGTGCAACTTCCTGGTTTTTTTGTTTTTGTTTTTCAGTTTTATCTGCAGGAAGAAGGGGAGCTGGGAGACTCCGGCCACCCTGAAAGGAGTGAGAGGGGCTAAAGGTCAAAGAGCACAGAGCGTTGAGCTGAGCCAGGTGAGGAGAACACCTGAACGATTAGCTTCAGACCTGGTCACCATCATTCAACTGAATCCAACCAGCCAATCACAACCCAGCTCTGGCAGAAACATGCGCTGATCTTCATATTTCCCATCAGCCAATAGAATTTCAGGATGACCACCATTTTTCAACATGGCTGCCATTTATTTGAGCCTCTTGATCCAGTTATTGCCATAAAATGTTTCCCATTTTCATGACTTGCATGAATTTATGTCACATCTCGTTTTAGTCGTCTGGTTCATGAAACGTTAAAGTGATAAAATGCAGCAGAATCGGAGGACTCTGCTGTTAGCGAGTCTCAGACCAGGAAGGAGAAGAAGAAGAAGAGAGACCGACTTCTTAACGTTAGCGTTAGCTTCTGCTAAGATTTTAAGATTTCAAATGTGCTTAGTGGCTTCACGTTGGCGTCTTCTAATAATTTGTATGTGTTTGGTGGTTTAGCATTAGCTTCAGCTATAATATGTGTTCAGTTCTGCTGATGGTTCCGATCAGACCAAGTTAATCATCACCTTTTGTTCCACCTGCAGAGATGTGACTCCACCCCTTCTCCAGTGACCATTATGGTCGAGTCGAGTCGATCTGCTGAATCTGGAACTGGATAACCCCCCCACCTGGTGCCCCCCCCCCCCCGGTCCCCCCCCCCTCACCTGGCGCCCCCCCCCCACTGTCCCCCTCCCAACAGCCTCACCTCCACCTTTAGATGAAGCTGCAGAGACCGGCCGCTCTGTTCACTACCTTTCCCACATTGAGCCAAAGCTGAGCCCCTCTGACCCGGTACCATGACGACCCGGTCACATTGACCCTGACCCCTGACCCCTAACCCGGACCGTCCTCTGTGGAATCAGTCACTTCCTGCTCGAACCAAAACCTTTTTTCTTTAGTTTGGTGTTGTTTCCGTTTGATCACCAACTGTGCCGAGTTCCCGCCGGTCCGACCAGAACCGGGCCTCAGAACCCCCTGAGCAGGTAGCGGACCTGCCGGGCCTCTGGGGCCAGAACCAAAGGGATTACCACGTTCTGGCCAGCAGGTGGCAGTAGACTTCACCATGGTGGAGGAAGACCCCCTCAGCTGCCCCCCCACACCACTACCTCAGGCTTTGACCTCTGACCTCCTGCTGCTCAGGCTAAGCTACCTCATAACCAAAAGCTCCATGATTGTCCCTTGACCTCTGAGCTGCTGCAGAGGTGAAGCAGGACAGTTTGGACATGGTGGACGCCTCTCTGTGGGACGTCCTCACCATCTCTTTATAAACACATAAAGGTGGGCGTGGCCACTTCCTGTCGGCCATGTTTCAGCCTACCTGTGATGTGTTGGAGCCAAATATTAATGTGCTGAACGGCGTCCAAAGAGGAAGTTCTGACCCAGATTCAGCTTGTTTTCACTCTGAAGAACAAACGAACCAAAACGACGAGTTTCTATTGGACGACGAGTCCAAACGACCAAATGAGAGACAGATGGAGACACCTGCAGCTCCACCTTCACCTCTGACCTCTGAGGTTCATATGGAGAACCACAGAGGGCCTGGGAGTTCACCGAGTTCACTTACAAGTCTTTACGGTGACCCCGACCCCCGACCCCGAGGACAGCTTACAGTAAAACTCGGACCTGTCCCTTTAAACTCCCAGCGTAGGACTGGAGGACACGAGTCTCACCAAGTCCATCAATGGAGTCCCCCCTGCTAAGCCCCGCCCCTCTGTCCTCTGGGTCACATGTCCGCTCTGCCAGGCGCTTCTTGCTGCCTTGGTGTCGGTTCTGGAGCGACCCGGTTTAATGCAGAGCGAAGCCTTTAATGTTGCTAATTATTCTGGTTTTCTAGAACTTTCTTCTGTCAGCAGAGTCCAAGTTTCGGTCGTCGCCATTGGCGGCGGACAGGAAGCTCTGCCAAATCCTGCTGATGTGAAGACGATTCCCGTAGGTCCAGAACCCCGACCCGTTTTTACTCTGTTTGTAGATGAAAACTGCTTCCAGCTGGAGGAGATGGACCGGAACTGGGCCCAGAACCAGAACCCTCCAGCCGGAGCGGCTCTAGAAGCTGTAGATCATAGAGATTTGAGGCTAGAACCAATGATGAAATGCTTTAATGGTTTTCTAGTGAAGCGCAGAGCTTTAACTGATTCTGATGGAGATTTTTATCTGTTTTCAATTAATTTTCTGGAATGTTTGAATATTTTTCTTGCTGTTGGATCAAGCAGTCGTTTTTCTCTCTGTTGTTTAGACGCCAAATAAAAGTTATTCATGTAGAAACTGGACTGAAGTTCTGCTTCTTTTCACTCTGAGCCCGGTTCTGGTCGGGTCCATATTGGCAGGATCCAATCAGATGCTCTATAATAAAGTGAACAGTTTTAAAACTTGAACGGACAGATCGACTTGTGGACGGTCACCGTTTCTGACTCTAACCCTAAGGGACATGGGGGTGTTTTTCTTTTGTCCTGATCCGTTCAGGTGTTATGACTGAACACTGGGCCATCTTACTTTCTGCTATAATATGAGGCTTTCATCAGGTTTTTCCATGTTAATATCTCAATGTTAAATTTATTTATATAGCAC